ACCGAAGATGGCGTCGGTGGTGCCGCAGTTCTTGATGAATCCAGCCTGGTTGACGCTGATGTCGACGATGTCCCGAATGCGCTTATCAAGGACGCGTTCAAAGATCTTCATAGTGTGTGACAGTAACCTGACCGGTCTGTAGTTGGAGCAGTCCGCTGGGCTGCCCTTTCCCTTCCAGATCGGAACAGTGGTGCTGCGGTACCAGTCGTGTGGCACTTTTCCCGTGGAGACGATGTTGTTGAACAGCTCGCACAGCCACAATGCCGAGCCCGGTAGTGCCTTTTTCCAGAAGTCGGCAGGGATGTCGTCTGGTCCTGTTGCCTTACCGTTTTTCATGGCCTTGATGGCGTCGGCGACCTCGCTGGCATAAATGCCTGAGACTGGGCCTTCAACTGGGTCACCTCGCGGGGTTCGTGGGTGTGGGAACTCCTCGGTGGAGATCTTCTCGAAGTATTGCCGCCACCTCTCCGCAGCGTCTCTGGGGTTGACGATCAAATTTCCCCTTTCGTCGTTGATCCCATGAAACTGGTCAATGTCCAGGGTCTTCCTGTGTCTGCTTTTGGCTAGGCGGTAGATCTCATTCTCGCCTTCTCGCGTGTTCAGCTTCTCGTAGATGTCATCGTAGTGGGAGCTTCTGGCTGTCGCTACTGCTTTCTTGGCTGCCTTTTTGGCCGCCTTGTATTCGCAGAGCTTCTCGCTGGTCTTGTCCTGAAGAAAGGCCTTGTAGAGCCGTTTCTTCAGGTGTACGGCATCTTGTACTTCCGGTGTCCAGAGCCATGTATCTCGTTCGATGCGTCTCCGTCCTGGCTTGGTGCAACCAAGCTGTTGGCAGCCGGCAGTGTGAACAGTGCTCTTCAGCATGGACCACGCTTCCTGTGGCCCGTCGACCATCTGCAGGAGCTGCTCCGGTTTGATGAGGGGTCCCGCCATCTTCTTCTGGTTCCACCACTTGATTCGTGGCTGGTCTGCATTCCTTTTGTCAATCCTGGTCTTGGGCTTGCTGATCCTGATCTTCGCCATCAGCGGCCTGTGCTGACTGCTCGATTCGTACGGGTACACCTTGGCGTTGAGCACGTTTTTAGCGGCTCTTCGTCGTACGATGATGTAGTCGATCTGTGTGTGGTGGCTCCCGTTTCTGCTATGGTAGGTGAGGAGTTGAGATTCTCGCCTAATGAAGCAGGTATTCGTGATGGTCATATCATGGGAGTCGGCAAAGTCCAGGATCCTCTGGCCATTCTCATTCGTATCGCCTGTGCCGTGCCCACCGTGGCACTGGTGTCCGTTTTTGTCCCGCCCTACATGACCATTCAGGTCGCCCGAGATGATGATGTCGTCTTCGTGTGGGATCTGCCTGAGTTGGATGTCGAGCAGTTCCCAGAAGGTATCCTTCTCCTCCTCGTGACATCCGGTCTGAGGGGCGTAGGCAGACAAGATGTGTAGGCGCTGCCTCTCGGTCGCTACGACGATTATCATCAGTCGTTCTGTGAGGCGCTTAACTTCTGCGACGGAACTTTGCCAGCTTGGACTGACAACCACAGCTACACCGCCGCGGTTTTCCTTACAGCTGGTGTATATGATCTTGTAGCCGTCTATAGTCGTAGCCTTGTTGCCCTTCCAGCGAGTTTCCTGGAGGCAGCAGATGTCCAGCTTCCTGTCCCGCATGGCCCTGACGATCTCGGTCGAGCGTCCAGTCAGCGAATCCACGTTCCAGGTGGCCACCTTGAGCGTCTGGCAGTCCTCTGTTCCCCGCTTGCGTTTTTTCACACGGATCGGGTGGTCTCCGTGCGCATCGGACCCGGACGCAGTCGCCATAGCTTTCTCACACGGTGCAGGTGCGCCGTGCTTTCCGCGTGGACCATTTCGTTGATTTTTGGCGCAGGCCAATGGTCTCCTGCGCCCGTCGGTTCCCCCGAGCGCGGTAGCATTGGACGTGTGTTTTGTAGTGGACGTTTCCACCATGTTGATGCGGCATTTGAGTACTCCAGCCGGCCTGTCGCGTGGGCCTGTCGTCGGAGGGTCTGCTCTCAGTTACGGTCAGCGTTTGACGGCTTCGCGCATCCAGGGGACACCACTTGGAGGTGGCAGACCGCTCGTCCCCCTGTTAACTAATATTCAAGAAATAAATATTGAAACAAGTACTTGGGCAGATCACAATCCAATGACAATTAAATGGAAAGGACAAAGAAGAAGATCTAGATGGACGTTAAATAATACTATTTTAAAAGAAAAAGACTTCACACAGTGGATGGAGAAAGAACTGGCTTTTTTCTTCAGAGAAAACAAAAAAGAAGATACATCAATCCAGAATGTATGGGATACAATGAAGGCATATGCCAGAGGCTTGATAATAGACTATACAAGGAAAAGAAATACCATGAAAAGTTTAGCCTCTAAGGCATTAGAGGATGAGTCTAAAGGACTTGAAAAGCTACAGAAAATGCCACAGAAAAAGGACATTAAGTTAAAAATGGATATAACCAAACATAAAATAGAAAAAGAAGAATTAGCACAGAAAATTAGAGATGCTAAACAGAACTACTTTGAAGACGCAAACAAACCAGGTAGATGTTAGCATCCAAATTGAGAAAGGAGGAAGAATCAGGGGTACTTTAGAAGACATTATATACGGGAGTCTCTGTGGTTAAACTGGGAGAAGATTAAAAGACAATGTTATTTGAAAATTCCAGTCTGGCTATCAACTATTGAAGCATTTTCTTATTCTATAATATACAAAAAGGAACAAACAGTTAGATATGGTGAAATATTGAACGAAAAGGGTGAACTTAAATCTATACAAAAACTAGAGGAATAAGGTATAAAGATGAATTGGTTTTCATATGAGCAAATACATTCAAGGTATGATAAAGATCTTAAAACAGAAGGTTTCTATGATAAACTGACTGACTTAGATAAGATTTTGTCAGGTTCTGATGAAAAGGTGATTAAAAAATTGTATGGATATTAGAAATTAAACTAGAAGAACAAGTTAAAGAAACTATGATTGCTTGGGGGAAGAATTTTGGATATGGGAGTGATCTAGAGAAATGGAAAAAATTGTGGTCTCAAAATTATAAAATGACAATGTCAACAGCATATAAAGAAAATTTGTATAAGATGTTTTACAGGTGGCATTTCCCCCCGACAAGAATAGCAAGAATGTTCAAGAATAAATCCGAAAAATGTTGGAAATGTCATCAGACACCTGGCTCATATTACCATATGTGGTGGAGTACGGATGCTAAAAAATACTGGACTAAAATCCACATGTGGTTCGAAAAAATGACAAAAAATCATATAGATTTGAAACCAGAGATATTTTTATTGGGAATTTTACCTGAAATATATAGTAAAGACTTGAAATACTTGATTGTAAATGTATTAACAGCGACTAGGATTGTATTTGCTAAAAACTGGAAAAATGAGAAAACACCATCACAGGAGGAAATCATTAAGAAAATATTGGAATGTGCTGAAATGAGTAGATTGACATTTGAAATTAGAGAACAAGAGGATAAACAATTTTATAAAATTTGGGATCTATTCTATCAATGGTTTGACAATAAAATATAGTAATGAAATATGTAGACTTTTAGAAAATACTAAGTATATAATGATGTATTCTTTTCTTATTATATCTACAAAATGATTCTAGGATAGATTTGGGATGATAATATGAACTGTCATAAAACAAATGAAGTAAAATATTATTTTGTAAAGCATGAATGAATAAAAGTATAGTCAAATGATTAATAATGATATTAATGTATTTAACATTTGATTGAAAATACAAGATTATATACAATGTAATTGTAATTGAAGACTACGAAATGGAAGTACAAAACAATTTGTAAACCAACCGGCACACTGTATGTATGTATATGGAAGATGGCTTGATGTTTTTATGTTTTGTTTGTTTATGTTTGTTTTAAAAACCAATAAATTTTTAATAAATAAATAAATAAATAAATAAATCTGAGTCGGCTGCCAAGCGTCTGACTTTTGATCATGCTGCAAGCGGTCGTAAGTGTGGAAAACAGTCCTTAAGTCACTTTCTTTAGTGCCGTTCCCTTTTAAACACTGTGTTCCCAGCTGTAGCTAATGAAGGGTATCAGAGCCCTTTCCTTCCGCGTAAGCCATGCAACTCACGTTGCTCCCTTCTCCGTTCCTCCCTGCATGCCCTAGGATGAAGAAGGGGTGGGCCTGGGTCTTCCTCCGAATTCCCTCTCCCTTGTTCTACCTCTCCCCTGCTTTGCCCAGCTGGATTTTGCCCTTCCCCAGTTTCTTCCACAGCCAACGGAGCCACACTCCCACTCCCTATCAGCTGCTCGGCCTCCCCCTCCGAATCAGATTCTGACAGAAGCATGACACCTTCCTTGCCACCGTTGTTAAGCAAATCACAGCAATAGTTAATTTAGTCACATGGTTCTTAAGTGAATCCGGCTTCCCCCATTGACTTTTTTTCTTGCCAGATGGTTGCAAAAGGGGATCACGTGACCCCGGGACACTGCAACCGTCATAAAGACGAGTTGGCTGCCAAGCGTCTGAATTTTGATCATGCCGCAAGCAGTTCTAAGTTTGGAAAACAGTCCTTAAGTCACGTTTCTTCAGTGCCATTTGAACAGTCACTAAACAAATAGTTGTAAATTGAGGACTGATAATTTAATCAGGAGGAACCCTTGTCTTTGTTTTCCAACAAATTGCTGACCGAGAATTGAATTGGGGGGAAAAACACTTGATAAATTACAACTGTCTTAAACAGAGGTCTCAAACTTTGGCCACTTTAAGCCAGGCGGACTTCAACTCCCAGAATTCCTCAGCCAGCCAAGCTGGCTGGGGAATTCTCGGAGTTGAAGTCCGCCTGGCTTAAAGTGGCCAAGGTTCGAGACCCCTGGTCTTAACAATTATTCTTCATCAACCGGTTATTCTAATAATTTGGTAGGGAATCTTTATGTGCATCTCTCTTATTTTTATTTTTATTTTTTCTTCCATGTTTCCCTCAGGGTTGGCGTATGCATCACTGGCTGCCGTTCCTCCAGTGTTTGGCCTTTATTCTTCGTTTTATCCCGTCTTTCTGTATACGTTTTTTGGAACCTCCAGACATATATCAATAGGTATCTTAATGAATTTGATGTTTTTTTGTAGTTTAGATCAGAGTTTCTTAACCTCGGCCAAAGTTGAGGTTTCTGGACTTCAACTCCCGGAATGCCCCAGCCAGCCAGGAAGCAAGGCTGGCTGGGGCATTCTTGGAGTTGAAGTCCACACATCTTCAAGTTACTATGGTTGAGAAATTCTGGTTTAGATGACTTTTGTTCTTGAAAATATTGTTGTGAAATCCTTTCCATCTTTTTAATGTGGACTACCTTTGTTACTCAAGTCAAAGTTATCTACATAGGTAATCCTTGACTTACGACCACAGTTGAGCCTAACATTTCTGTCGCAAAGCGAGACAGCTATGAGATGAAATTTAATTTTAAGCTGTTTTACCTCATTTTATGACCTTTTGTGATGACCCAAAGGGGCATGGCACAAAGGCAACACATCTCGCTTAGCGATGGAAATTCTGGGCTCCATTGTGGTCATAAGTCGACGACTACCTGTAACCCCCCGACTTCTCCCACCTCACCCTCTCGCAGGAACTTTTGCTGTCATCAGCCTGATGATTGGCGGTGTGGCAGTGAGAGAAGCCCCTGATGAACTGTTTGAGGTGATGGGCACCAACTTGACCAACGGGACCGATGCCAGAGATGCCATGCGGGTGAAAGTAGCCGTGGCGGTCACCTTGCTATCAGGTATCATACAGGTAAGGGTGTGTGTGCAACAGCTGGATCCAGAAGCAGAGTTTAGCTCCTGCTTTCCGCTAAGTCAAAATCAGATTTTCCCTTTTTTTGCAATTCAAGATCAGGCTGGATATCTTCCATCAAGTGAGAGGTACCTTGGGACCCCCTGAACTTGTCGGTTTTCCCTCAGACGTTTCACTGATACTGTAACCTAGTTTGATAATGAAACATCTGCAAGAGAACGATCAAGCCTAGAGAGCACCAGGGATCCACGATTCAGCCCCAAGCTGCAAATATTCTCTTTGGTCAAGTCCATCAATGTTTTGTGATGGTATGAGTGGTGCAGTGGCTTAGAGGTGGAGTTCTCACCTTGCAAACAGAAGGCTGTGAGTTCGATCCTAGGTAGAGGCAGATATTTCTCTCTCTGGGCACAATGAGAATATTATCTGCTGCCAACTCCGCATTGGCAACAGGAAGGGCATCCAGCCAGTAAACACTCAGCTCCATTCAGTTGCCCCGACTCCACCCTGATGCAAGGGATTACGGGGTCATTAAATGACAAAGAATGGTAGGTGGTGAGAGATGTAGAGTATGGGAAAGGTGTAGGCCAATTATAGACATTGAAATCTAAGTTAACCTGGCATTTTATGTCAAAAAAAACCACCTTAATTTTCTGTTTGAATTGGACGGATTTGCTTACGTTACACAATAGATAACATGGAAAAAAAGTCATAGAGAAGAACAAATATATATATATATGCACTGGTGGTCACACTTGGCCTGGACTCTCATTAATCAAATATTTTCTTGTACTTTTTGTACTCTGTGACTGAAATGTTCTGCTTATTTTTTTGCAAAGAAATTGTGGGGGGAGGGGGGGAGGGGGAGAAGCAAGCTCCTAGGAATTTGTTTAAAAACCAAAAGTGATGACAGTGACTGTTGCTAGAAAATGGCTTCTCTCCCTATCAGTTGTGTTTAGGACTGCTTCGCTTTGGATTTGTAGCCATTTACCTCACAGAGCCCCTGGTTCGTGGATTCACAACTGCAGCAGCTGTGCACGTGTTCACTTCTCAGCTGAAGTATCTGCTTGGGATTAATATCAAACGATTCAGTGGCCCTCTCTCTGTTCTTTATGTAAGTATCTCTGTCTGTACATCGCTCCATCTGTCAATATCTGTCTATCTAGCCATTTATCTATCGCTCTGTCTGTCTGTCTATCTTATACCTTATCTATTCTGTTTCTCCTGCCTGTCTGAATCTATGTCTGTCTGTCTGTCTGTCTGTCTATTTATCTATCTATCTATCTTTACCTACCTATCTCTTGTGCTCTATATCTATCCCTACATATATCTATCCGTTTATCATTATCTATCTAGTCATTTATCACTATCGCTATCTGTCATCTATGTCTGTCTGTCTGTCTGTCTGTCTATCAACTACTTACCTACTTCTCCATCCATCCATCTATCCATTGTTGTCTGTCTATCTAGTCATTTATCTATTCCTGTCTATCATCTATGTCGCAGTGTCTGTCCGTCCGTCCATCCATCCATCCATCCATCCATCCATCCATCTATCTATCCTACCTATCAGTTGCAAGAATTGAGTGTGTCATGAAAAGAAGGACTAGGGGTGACATAATAATAAACTTCCAATATTTGAGGGGCTGCCCCAAAGAAGAGGGAGTCAAGCTATTCTCCAAAGCACCTGAAGGTAGGACAGGAAACAACAGATGGAAACTAATCAAGGAAAGAAACAACCTGGAACTAAGGAGAAATTTCCTAAATGTGAGGACAATTAAACAGTGGAACAGCTTGCTTTCAGAAATTGTAGGTGCTCCATAACTAAAGGTTTTTAAGAAGAGACTGGACAATCATTTGTCTGAAATTGTATAGGGTAATCAGTTTGAACGGAGTTGGATGAGAAGATGTCCAAGATCCCTTCTATCTCTATTATTATTTTTCCATATAATTCAAGGAGGTGAATTTGTCCAACGCACCTTCCTCCTCCTCTTTTCCCCACAGCAACAACCCTGTGAGGAGGGTTGAGCGGACAACCCTGGGAGGAGTTGAGGAGGGTTGAGTGAGAGAGAATGCCTGGCTCAGTTGGTTTTCACGGCTAAGGCAGGACTTGAACTCACAATCTCCTGCTTTCAAGCCTGGCGCCTCAACCACTAGACCAAACTGGCTCTATCTATAATAGGATGCTTCATTTATTAAGCTACTAGCCGATAACCCGGCGTTGCCCGGGTATTTATTTATCCCAATCCTGTATTAGACAGGAAAATCCTGTAGTCGGGACTCACACTGTTGTACTGTCTGTCACGCAGCATCGCAATTCTTCTACTCCTCCACAAACTGTTACCATGGCAGAAGCCATTTTAAGGCACCCCCCCTTAAATGTTAGGGGTGTCTTACCCCCACAGTATTTGTCATCTGTGTACCACGTTTGGTTGAAATTGCTCAAGGCATTCCAGAGTTATATAATAATAAAATAAATAAAAATAAGATATGATAGAAAGATTCCTAGCCAATGGGACTTGAAAAGATGGGAATAAGCCGGTAGACTTCAGTTGTTTGGCCCTTGCTTTGGACTACACAATCAATCCAAGGGAATATGGAAGTTGTAGTCATCAGAACTTTTGGAAGATTGTTCCTGTCACAATCCCAGAATAACCCGATTGTTTTCTCAAAACCACAGACCAGTTTCTTCAATGGGTCCCATCCAAAGCATCGGATAGCCCTCATTGTGATCCCGAAGACCTCATGGGTTATTTCTTTTGTCTTGCCTTGCCTTTCAGAGTTTGATTGCGGTCTTCTCCAACATCACCAAAACCAACATGGCCACTTTAGTCGTTGGGCTCATCTGCATCGTCCTTCTACTGAGCGGCAAAGAAATCAATGACCGTTTCAAGAAGAAGTTAGTGGTTCCGATTCCCCTGGAGATCATTGTGGTAGGTCCATGATGGCAAACCTATGGTACGCATGCCACAAGTGACATGCAGAGCCATTTGTGCTAGCATGGGAGCTGCAGGCAAACTTACCTCACTGCATATGTGTGTGCCTCACCGCTGATTTTTTTTTCTGGCTGGTTTGTGGCCTTTTTCAGCCTCCCGGAGGCTTTGAAAAAGCTTCTTCAAGGCTTTTCCGGATGAATTATAGGCCCGTTTCGTCACTTCCTGTAATATGGGAAGTGACGAAACGGGCCTATAATTCGTCCTGAAAAGCCTTGCAGAGGCTTTTTCCAAGCCTCTAGGAGGCCGAAAAAGGCCTCAAACCATCCGAAAAATCAGCTGTAAGGCGCAGTGCAGGTAAGGGGGTGGAGGGAGGGATTGCACATGCATGCGCAGGGGGTGTGCATTGCATTCTGGGTGCTGGCACGCAAGTGCGTGTGCACTGGCTCGTGCAATTTTTGCCACAGGAGCCCAAAAAGATTAGCCACCACTGTGGTAGGTCCTCAACTATAGCTGAACGCAGAACACTCAGAATGTAGAACATAGGAGAAGAGACTTGGTAGGGACCTTGGAGGCCTTCTAGTCCAACCCCCTGCTTCAGCAGGAGATCCTTAGACCAGTTTGGACAAATAGCTATCCAATCTCTTCTCAAAAGCCCCCAGTGATGGAGCACCCATAACTTCTGGGCTCTCATCGTTAGGAAAGTTCTCCTTGGTTCTAGTTTGCTTCTCAGCTTGATTAGAACATAGAGATTAAAAACAGGGTTCCTTCTCTTTTTTTAATTATAGGATTATAGGAAGCTTGCTTACCGTTATCCGGGATACCGTTTGTAAGTGCTATGTCCTTAGAGCTCGAAGCCTTGTTAGAGACCCCGCACACCCACTTCACAGTCTGTTTCTGTTGCTCCCCTCTGGGAGGGAGTTTTGAAGTATCTATAGCAGGATTACTAAATTCAGTATCAGGCTTTGCTCCTTATGCCATCCATCCGGTAAACTTGCAAGATTATTATTTTTGCTCCATATACATGTATACATCCGAATTAGACTGTTGTTTCTCTGTGTCATAGAATATATGCAGGTATATGCATAATTTTTTGGGGGGAGAGTCATGTTTATGTAGTGTACATTGGAGGTGGTGACATTCTGAGAGCTGTAATCCCGGGGGTGGGGGTGGGGGTGGGGGTGGGGGGGATGAGTCTGCCTACCAAAATGAGTTGGACCGGCTGCTTTCGTGGTGTGGAGACAATAACTTGGTCCTCAACACCAATAAGACCAAGGATTATAGTGGATTATAGGAGGAACAGATCAGACATCCAGCCCTTGCTTATCCATGGAGACCGAGTGGAGCAAGTGGCCAGTTTTAAGTTTCTGGGTGTTACCCTAAAAGAGGACCTGGGGTGCTCACATTGCAGCCCTGATCCAAAGGGCCCAGTAGAGATTATACCACCTGAGGCTTCTCAGGAAACAACAACTGAATGGAAAACTGCCGGTGACCTTCTACTGCTGCACCATAGAGAGTATCTTAACTTACTGCACCTCTGTTTGGTTTGCCAAATGCAAGTGGCAGATAGGACAGCACTCCAGAAGGTTAACGTTTTTATTGCCCAAAGGATCACGGGTTCCCCTCTTTGGAAGAGCTTTAGAGCTCCTGCTGCCTTAAGGAAGTTCAGAACATTCTCAAAGATCCATCTCATCCTGGGAACCCTTTTTCTTTTTTAACTATTACCATCTGGTAGACAGTACAGGATAATTAAAAACAAGGACAAATAAGCTGAAAAACAGCTTCTATCCCAGGGCAGTAGCTCTGTTGAATTCTACTGTATAGTGCAGTGTTGGTGTGGTGTTAGGAGTTTCCGGTTCAATGTGTGAAGGGTGAAGGATGTGTGTTTGTGTTTATTTTCATGGTCATGATTTGCACTGAAGATGGTATTTGATTTTGTTGTACGAGGCGCAGTGACAAAGTAAACTAAACTAAACTTAAGCAACAAAATTTCATTTTAATGTATGCCGATTGGTGTAAAGTGACAATAAAGTTATTCTGTTCTAAGCAAGTCAAATTTTCTTCCAAAATTCTTCCAATTGAACGCCAAACGTTTTGTTTTGTGTGTGTTTTAAGGTGGTCATAGGCACTGGAGTTTCAGCAGGAATGAATCTGTCCAAAACTTACAACGTCGATATTGTTGGGAACATACCCAGTGGGTAAGTGGAAGATATATGGAAGGAGGGGGGAGTATTACCGATAGTTCTTGACTTAAAATACAATGGAGCCCCAAATTTCCCATTGCGAAGCAAGACAGTTGTTAACGTGACTTTTGCTCCGTTTTACGACCTATCTTGCCACAATTGTTAAGTGAATCACTGCAGTGGTTTTAAGTTACTAACATGGTTGTTAAGTGACTCCGGCTTTCCCGTTGACTTGGCTCGACAGACGATCGCAAAAGGGGATCACGTGGCCCCAGGGGTGTGTGTGACACTGCGACCGTCATAAATATGAACCAGTTGCCAAGCATTCAAATTTTGATCACGTGACCGCAGGGATGCTGCAATGGTCGTAAAGGTGAAAACCAGTCATAAGTCACATTTCTCAGTTCTGTAGTGATTTTGAATGGTCACGAAACCATTGGTCGTAAGTCAAGGCCTACCTGTATTCTTGGAGCAGGGCTGTGTCAAACTCTATTTCTTTGAGGGCTGCACCAGGGTGGTGTTTGGAATGGATGTGGCCCGGCCCCAGAGATGGTCCTGAGCCGGTTCTGATCAGTTTCTGGAGAACTGGTAGTGGAAATTTTCTGAGAATCGGCAAATCCCTCCTCTGACTGGCCCCGCCCCCATCTATTCTCCACCTCCCGAATCCCGACTGATTGGCTGGGTCTTCTTTTGTTGCCCTGCGCAGGACAACAGAGCTGGAAAGCAGGCTAGTGGGGTGGGGAAGGAATGGGGATTTTGCAGTAACTTTCCCCTGCCACACCCACCAAGCCACGCCCATAGAACCGGTCGTAAAAAAAAATTTTTGAATCCCATCCCTGCTTTACAAGAGTTAGACTTCCTTTGCTGGCCCATCCCTTAAGGTAGAGACAGTTTGATCTCTGGAGCTTAACACGTTTCGGTCTGCGTTGACCTCAGAATGAAGAAACCTGGCCTACCTCCAGAATCTCAAATCTGAGGATTGGCAATGTGAGAACGTCAATGTGAGAACGTCAATGCCGCGCCCACCAAGCCACGGCCACAGAGCCATTAGTTAAAAAAATTTGAATCCCACCACTGGCGTGGCTAGGGGGCGTGGTCAGCTCGACATCACTCGTGTCCGTGTCGGGGCGCCTGTGGGGGCCTGAGCACTTTGCCAGAGAAAACAGGCTCCTGAGCTCCATTTTGAGCTGGAATGGCCTCCTGCAACCTTCTGCCAGCGAAAATGAAGTTTGGGTGGGCTGTATGAGGCTCCTTGGGCTGGTCCTTCGCTGTTTCCAGGGTGGCCTCACGGGCCAGATCTAAACACCCCACAGGCCAGGGCCTGGGCCTTGAGTTTGACACGCCTGTCTTAGAACCTCCAAATTAACTATTTTTTTGCGCCCCCCCCCCAATTGCTACTTACAGGTTAATCCCTCCTCAGATACCTGATATCAGCCTCATCGCGGATGTGTTTGTCGATGCCATCGCTATCGCTCTTGTTGGGTTTTCCATGACCATCTCGATGGCCAAAATCTTTGCTCTGAAGCATGGCTACACGGTGGATGGGAATCAGGTAACACTATCGTAGCCTAGTTGACAACTCGAAAACAAGCATGGGAATGCATTACGAGTTGACACTAAGTTTTTGCTCCTCACGGCCTGGATAAAACTCCATGGTCAATTAAAATGGGCTCCCAACTTACAACTTACTACCATTGGTTTAGTGACCAAAGTTACAGTGGCACTGAAAAAACAATGATTTAGGACTCTAATTTCAAACATACAACCATTGCAGCATCTCCATGGTCACGGGGTCAAAATTCAGATGCTTGGCAACTGGCGTGTATTTACGACAGTTGCAATGTCCTGGGGTCATGGGATCCCCTTTTGTGCCCTTCTGACAAGTAAAAGCCAATGGAGAAGCCAGATTCGCTTAACAAACGTGTTACTAACTGAATATCATCTTATCCTTATCTCCCCTCCCTTCCCTCTCCTTCTCTCTTCTCACCTCACTTTAATCTTTTATGTTACATCTTTTATCATCGTTTATCTTATCGTCACCATTTTGAATGGTCACTTGGGAATATTGCCACTACTGAAGATAAGTAAATGTATATAGAGTGATCCACAGGAGGTGACAAAAAGGTGGGAGGAGTTAAAAGTCAAGGCCACAGACATGATTGAAATCCTGCCCCAAAAGGTTGTGAGCTCCATCTTGCCTTTTTCACCCCCTGGATACCACCAAATGTGGAGGGGGTTTCCAGTTAGAAAATGGGGTGTCACACTTGGCCAAATAAACTGTTCTGCTCTGTTCTGTCCTGTTGTTCTGTTCTATTCTATTCTATTCTATTCTATTCTATTCTATTCTATATTTTATTCTATTCCGTTCTAATCTATTCTATATTCTGTTGTATTCCGTTCTATTCTATTCTATATTCTATTCTATATTTTATTCTGTTCCGTTCTAATCTATTCTATATTCTATTCTGTTCTATTCTATATTCTATTCTATGTTTTATCTATTCCATTCTAATCTATTCTATATTCTTTTCTATTCTATTTTATTCTATATTCTATTCTATATTTTATTCTATTCCATTCTAATCTATTCTATATTCTGTTCTATTCTATATTCTACTATATTGTATTCTATATATTAGTCTATTTTGTATTCTATATTCTGATCTATATTCTATATTTTATTTTATTCTATTCCATTCCATTCTATATTCTACTATATTCTCTATTCTATTCCATTCCATTCCATTCGGGAAATTAATCTTCGTCCATAGTGCTATGTGATTTTCTTTTTCAGTTTTTGTTATGTGTTCTTTTCTCGTCCTTTCTATGTTATCCCAGGAACTCATCGCATTAGGCATCTGCAATTCCACCGGATCCTTTTTCCAGACGTTTGCTATCACCTGCTCGATGTCTCGGAGCCTTGTTCAGGAAGGCACCGGAGGGAAGACACAGGTGTGCAAAATACCTTACTTTTATAGGACATCTTTCCCTTTGGTTAAAGAGAGGTCTCCTAATGTGGCGTCCACCCAATATAGAGAGTTACATTCAGATGCTTGACAACTTGATTCATATTTATGACAGTTGCAGTGTGATTTATGCAGACGTCTGATTTCCCCCTTCTGACATACAAAGTCAATGGGGAAGCCAGATTCACGTAATAACCGTGTTGCTAACTTGACAACTATAGTGATTTACCTAACAGCAGTGGTCAGAAAGTTCGTAAAATGAGGCTGATATCAACAGCCTTCTTGTGTAGCCATGGAAATTTTGGGCTCAATTGTGCCCGTAAGTCGAGGACTACCCGTACATGGGATTAATACTGAAAATTATCAGATTTATCATCTGATGAGCTGAATCATTCTAGATCTTATTCTTACTAAAACGTTTTATTTTTGTTCAGATTGCAGGAACTCTGTCTTCAATCATGGTTTTCCTGGTGATCATTGCCATTGGTTATCTTTTTGCACCTTTGCCACAGGTAAGCATCCTCCAGGTATCTAAATCAGCAGAATTAAAAGTCCTGTTGTACAGATCATAATACTTATCCACTGTATGAGGTGTAATGACAATAAAGTAAACTAAAGTAAAGAGCCATGGTGGCACAGTAGTTAGAATGCAGACTAATTCTGCCGACTGCCAGCAGTTCAATTCTGACCAGTTCAAGGTTCAAGTCTAAATACTATTGCTACTCCCTTCCTTCCTTCCTTCCTTCCTTCCTTCCCTCCCTCCCTCCCTCCCTCCCTCCCTTTCTCTCTTCTTCCCTTTCTCATTCTCCCTGGTGGCACAGTGGTTAGAATGCAATGTTGCAGGCTAATTCTGCCATCAGCCAGGAGTTGGATTCTGATCCGCCTTCTATCCTTCCAAGGTCGATAAAATGAGGACCCTGTTTGTTGCGGGCAAAATGCTGACTCTGTAAACCGCTTAGAGAGGTCTGTAAAGCATTATGAAGCGGTATGTAAGCAGGGGTGGGCTTCAAACATTTTAGCAACAAGTTCTCTGCCTGGTTGCTGGGTGGGCATGGCCTAATTGGCCTCCTGCACCACGGGTGGAGGGGATGTTTTTTGCCCTCCACGGGCTCCAGAAACTTTCCTTGAACCTCTGGGGGGGTGAAAACGGCCTCCCCCGGGCTCCGGAGGCTTTCTGGAAGCCGGAAATGGGCCCATTTCCAGCCTTCCTAACTTCTGGGAGGCCTGTTTTTCACCCTCCCCGAGTCTCTGTAAACACCCTGCATCCAAAATGGGCCACGTGGGGACTCCTGGGAGGGAAAGGGAGGGATGGGCAGGGCCAGCCAGGAGTGGGATTTGGGGTTCTCCAAAGTGCAGAATCTTAGTTAGGGGCTCTCCCAAACCCCTGATGAACCCCCAGCAGCCCCACCCCTGTATATAAGTCTTAAGTGCTATTGCTATCTGTGTCTGTTAAACATAGTTTTCTTAACTGCTTCATGTTCTCAGAGTCTGGTCGCCCCCTTCATAGGTAATTAATTTCGGATATTTTATCTTGCATCCTTTTCTCTGGCTGATCTCCATAAACAACACCAGCTTTTTCTAAAGTTCTTTCTGAATACAGGAAGTCCCCAGGCTAAGAATGCCTCAGTTACAGATGACCCATGGTTAAGAACAGAGCCTATTGTACCAAAATTTGAGTTAAATACCCAGTAATTCAAGTCCAATTACAGAACGCTACTTATATCACAATACTGTCACAGCTCACATACAAATTTGACGTAAGGAGAGACTTTGAGAACAAAACATGTTGTTCAAGTGGGGATTCCCTGTGTCCTTAATTACAATGAATATATTTTATTCTGTTGCACACATCCAATCCGAGAAAGCATTTGTAATTGTAATTTAAACTAGTTTGTTAGCAAGCAAGAACAGAACGTTTCAGGCTAACTTTGAAAAACTAGGAAAGCTGCCATCTAAAGACAGCCCAAAAATATTGCTGGTAATTGTCATAAAAGCATGTCATTAGTTTCTGAGAAATGTGTGCCTGGAAGATCAAAGTTATTTCTGTTTGCATGAAGGCTTACTCTTATTAGGTTTGCAATGTTCTTTTAAAAAGGCATGCATTGCTTATCCAAAATTATGTTCTTTTTTTTTTAAAGCATGCATATACAGATAGATGCTGGGATGACCCAAAGGGGCGTGGCACAAAGGCAACACAGTCAGATAATCAGTAGGAGTCCCTTTATTAGCTCCAACTTTGCCCCCAATGTCCTGGCTTCCTTCTGGCTGGAGAAAAACTCCCAGGAACAGCCTTTGACTGCAGAGATTCAAGTCCAAAGTGTGGTCAACAAAAGCTGTAACTATAAGTCCAGTCAAGGCAAGATGAGGTAATTAGTCTGACAGGGCAAGAGAAGGAATTCTAGATATGAACGAACGGCACTAATTCAACCAGGTTGGGAGGATGCCAGGAAAGCAGATAACCAAAGTCAACACAAGATAAACTCACGTTTGTTCCCAACAGACGCTGCACTCAGCTTGCATCTCTTTTAAACTCTCATTCCCAGGTGTGGCTAATGAAGGGAATCAGGGCCCTTTCCTCCCCTGTAAGCCAGACAACCCACATTGCTCTCTCCGTTCCTCCTTGCGTGCCCTAGGATGAAGAGGGGGTGGGCTTGGGTCTTCCTCTGAACTCTCTCTCCCTTGTTCTACCTCTTCCCTGCTCTGCCCAGCCAGACTTTGCCCTTCCCCAGTTTCTTCCACAGCCAACAGAGCCACACTCCCATTCCCTGTCAGCTGTTCGTTTTCCTCCTCAGATTCAGACTCCAACAGGGGTGTGACAGATGCTTAGAATGGGTTTTAAATGAATTCAGAAAAGAAATCATATTATTCTCAAATTATTTTCCTAGACTGTGCTGGCAGCCATTGTCATGGTCAATCTGAAAGGCATGTTCAAACAGTTTGGAGATATTGTCCACTTTTGGAGAACCAGCAAAATCGAACTGGTGAGTGATTCCGTGCCCCTCTGCTTCCTTTCTTCAGCTTTTCACCTCTGCTGGTAGTCCTTGACTTAAAACAGTTCACTTTAGTGACCGTTCGAAGTTACAATGGCACTGAAAAAAAGCGACTTAGGGCCATTTTTTTCACACTTATGTTGGCCTTCGCAGTCTTCTCCCTGGTCACGTGATCAAAATTTGGCTGCTCGCCAACCGATTCATATTTATGATGGCCACAGTGTCCTGGGGGAGGGTCACGTGGACCCCTTTTGCGACCTGGCAAGGGGAATCCAGATTCACTCAACAACCGTGTGAGTAATTTAACAAGGGCAGCGTTTCATTTAGCCACGATGGCAAGAAAGGGGCCGAACCAGGGGCAGGCTGCTGTGGGTTCACAGGGGTTCAGGAGAGACCCAGCTAAGATTCTGTGCAGTTCGGAGAACCCCAGGGGTGGGATTCAAATTTTTTAACAACCGGTTCTGTGGGCGTGGCTTAGTTGGTCGGTGTGGCTTGGTGGTCATGTGGGTGGACGTGGCTTGGTGGTCATGTTCTTGGCTGGGCGTGGCCAACTCAACATCACTCACATCAAGGCACGCATCTCCTCGCCTGGCCTCTCATGACTGTGGGGATGCTGCAGCAGTCATAAGTGTGAAAAATGGTCATAAGTCACTTTTTCAGTGCCATTGTAACTTTGAATGGTCACTCCACACAAGCAAAGTACCAGCAAAGGAGGGGAAAAAAACTCCAGAGAAGTTCCAGAGACAGGAAGTCTAGTCCTGCCAAAAATGTAATAAGTGTTAATGGAGAGGCAGTTTCTGTAAGCAACCCCAGAATGTTTCCTTCCTGCATTCCTTACAGGATTAGGCCAGTAATTTCTTCTAACAACCGGTTTGCCGAACTGCTTAGAATGTTAACCGGTTCTAGTGAATAGGTGCGAACTGGTAGAATCCCACCCCTGGAGAATGCCCAAACCCCACTCCTAGCTGGCCCCACCCACCTCACCCCTCCCCTCCCAGGAGTCCTCACATGGCCCATTTTGGATGGAGATAAGGGGAGGGCGCGCATGGAGGCTTGGGAAGGGCAAAAAACAGGCCTCCTGGAAGTTTGGGAAGGACGGAAATGGGCCCGTTTCCAGCTTCCAGAGAGCCTCTGGAGCCCAGGAGAGGCTTATTTTGGCCCTCCCGGAGACTTGAGAAAAGCCTCCTGAACCCGGGGAGGAGGAAAGCCGTGGTGCAGGAGGTCAACTCGGCCACGCCCACCATGGCCACACCCACCCAGCAACCGGGCACAGAACCCTTTGCTAAAAATTTTGAAGCCCTCCTCTGAGCAGAACTCACTTAACAAATGGCTAATGGAATGTGCAGAAATGAGTAAATTGACATTAGCAATTAGAGAGCAAGAAGATAAAGAATATTTTAAAATTTGGGATTTATTTTACCAATGACTGGATAAAAAATAGGGAAATAAAATATATTATAATATAAATATAACATAATAACAAAGATAAGACAATGTAATGATATGTTATCACTGATTATAATGAAATGAATGATATTATGTACTAGGTTATGTAATAGTTCAGATTTGCTCGAAAAGAATGATGTGAATTTATAATTAAAGTCTAATAAGGTGTTAACAACAATACAGTATAATATGTATAGTTGATATATATATAATGTGAATTGTAATTTAAATGTAAAAGGGAAAGACTGTTGATATTGTGCACAAGAAATATGTACACTATGCAATGGAAAGATGCTTTTATTTGTTGTTTTATGTTTGTGTTTGTTTATGTTTGTTGTCAAAAAAAATGGAGGAAAAAAAATAAATGGCTCATTTAACAACAGGAATTTTTGGCTCAATTATGGTTGTAAGTTGAGGATGACCTGTGTTGCTGATTGGATGATTCCTTTTTTTTGATTCTTTTATTTTAGGCAATTTGGATTGTAGCTTTTCTCGCCTCAGTTTTTCTGGGCCTGGACTACGGCTTACTCACATCGATTACTTTTGCTGTGATAACCATTGTCTACAGGACCCAAAGGTACAGTTTACGTTGAAACCGCCTATGAAACAATTTTCTTTGCTTTGTTTTTACACTTCTTTTTATGTTCCCCCCCACTCTTATTTAACTTATCTCATTTATTTAATCTAATTCAGCCTTGATCAGAAGTAACTCAATTCCTAACACGGGTTAGTCCTCAACATATGGCCAAAATTGAGCCCCAAAGTTTAGGTTGCTAAGTGAGTCATTTTGTTAAATGGGTTTTGTCCTACTTTACAACTTTTAAGTTGTTAAGTGGATTCGCCTTCCCTGTTGACGTTGCTCATCATTGGGTCACAAAAGGGGATCTTGTGACCCTAGGAGACTGAGACCCATCATAAATGTGAGTCGGTTGTCAAGCATCTGAATGTAAACCACGTGAATATGTGGATTCTGCAAAGGTCATAACTGAATAAAGGTCCTAAGTGATTCTGTTTAGTGCTGTTGTAACTTTGAACTGTCGCTAAATGAACCGTTGTAAGTCGAGGACTTCCTGTACCTCTTTCCTCAACTTATTTCATTGATGCTGTAGACTGAAATTGACTTTCAGATGGCTCATCAACTTTTAAAACCATCAAAATCAGGGAGGATAATAAGATGCCACTAGCATGGGTGAGAGAAACAGATTTTTGGCTCCTGATTCTAATAAATTAGAATTAGAATTCTTTATTTTAATATTTAATTAATATTAGTATTTTAATAGAATATAATAGAAAATAGAATTAGGAATAGAATAGAAAATAGAATAGAATTAGGAATAGAATAGAATAGAATTGAATTGAATTGAATTGAATTCTTTATTGGCCAAGTGTGATTAGATACACAAGGAATTTGTCTTCGGTGCATAATCTCTCAATGTACATATTCAGCTGACAATTAAAGTTACCACCTAAATGAGAAGCCTTCCTGAACTATTGTCGTTCTAAATTCGTGCCCCTGTTTCGGGATCCGTATCTTGCAAGGTAGATTTTTAATTTAGTACCTGTCCTGTAAAGGCTTTGTTACATAACTGCTTTATTGTGTTAGCAGAAGGTTGGTTGCTTTGTTTCTTGATCAGCGAGTCGTGTTCAAAGCAGTAGAACCTGTTTCAATAATGAAGATAAACTTTGGACACGATCGTTAAAGTGAACAGGGTTGGTTGGTTGGTTTGGTTTTTTAAAAAATATTTCTTATACCCTGTTTCCCCGAAAATATGACCTACCCTGAAAATAAGTCCTAGCTTGGTTTTTTACACATGCACCAAGTATAAGCCCTACCCCCCAAAATAAACCCTAGTAAGATCCCACGGGTAAAAGTTAAGCTAGGGTGGGGATGAGGTGGTGGTGGAACTGCCCTACTACTTACCTTTGGACAGTTGTAGCCAGGCCTCGCGCACCCCATCACCTGCCTTGCCGGCCCATTTCTTCTGCAACCAGCAAGGCTGGCAAGGCTTTCCTGAAGGCTTCTGTAGCTGATAAGAAAGCTCAGGATTGATCCAGAGCTCTGTTATCGGCTGCAGAGGCCTTCAGGAAAGCCTTGCCAGACGCAAAAGAAGAAGTTCCTGAAGGCCTCTGTCAGCGAAAAGGAGGCCGGGGGCAACGCGCATAAGTGGGGTTAGTCAGTGGATGACATCCCCCAAAAATAAGACCTGGTGCCTTTTTGGTGGCAAAAATATATATGAGATAGGGTCTTATTTTGGGGGAAACACAGGTAATTCTGCCACATGCAGCTACACATGATCGTCTAACTTCTCCAATAGGAACGGTTATAACGCAAATAACGCATTGTATTTCTGTAATTTTCTTTTTTTCCCCACAGTCCCCACTATAGAATCCTTGGCCCGATTCATAACTCAGACATTTATTGTGACGTGGAACTGTACGAAGAGGTAAGAGATTTGGAACGCTTGAAGACCCCAAAAATTAATGTCTTCCGTTAAAAACGGGGTGGAACCATAGGATCTCAGGCGGAATCTCCCTTGCGCTCTTGTCTTAACCAGTAGGTTCATTTAAAAAAAGGTACTTGCAGGAATCCTGAATAGATTGATTGGGTTGAACTAAAGCTAGGAAGGAGAGCAACCAGAAGTGGAAAGTTTCTTCACAAGATCAAAAGCTTTCCAGATTAGTAAGATTTCAGATTTCATTTCAGAGCCTTTCCAGATCAGTAAGGTTAATTGTACTTCAGAGTTCATTGCAGAAGGTTTCCAGATCAGAAAGGTTGATTCGTGCTTCAGAATCCATCTCAGAAAGTTCCCAGATCAGTGGTCATTACAATGACTAGAACATAGTTGAATGGTCTGCCAAAAAGGAAAAGAAAAAAAAAGAATTTTGCTGCAAGTTTGGAGTTATAAACAAACCGTGGAAGGCAACATTTGCAGTTGCCAATTAACTTAGGAGGAAGCACTGCCAGAATTATGGGGAGAGTGGAAAGGAAAATATGTTTTACTGGATAGAGCAAAAGTCACAGCGTTTTAGGATTGTACAAATGGAATCCTATTTTTAATCCTTAAAAACGGGGGGGGGGGGGAATTCCATTTTTCCCATTTTCCTGTCTGCCCGACCCAGAAATTACACCCATGCAACTTTTGTGTCAAGAAAAACAGTCCAGTATGGTATTAGATTTAAGATGGAATTTACTGAATAATGAAATAAAAGTATGTGATAAAATTGCAAATGTGACAGATAAAATTATAAAGGTATAATGAATTTAGAATTTAAAAAAAATAAGTGCTAGATTACAGAATAAGATTTTTAGAAAAAGGAATTAAGTTAAGAAATAAATTGAAAATGGATTTAATAAGTGAAAAGAAAATAAGAATAATGGAGAAAATTTACTGGAAAATGGAAGTAATGATATGATATAGAATTGAATGTGAAAGATCAATGTGTGTTAAGGTCATGTTTGTATTGAAGTGTAAAAACCTAGAACCATGTGGTTCACTGAAAGAGATGTTTTTAAAATATAAAATTAATAAAAAAAATATTACAAAAAGAAAGAAAGAAAGAAAGAAAAAGAAAGAAAGAAAGAAAGAAAGAAAGAAAGAAAGAAAGAAAGAAATAGTCCAGTAGAAACACTAAATTTTTTATTTTTGAGACAGCAAGACTGACTTCCAGTACATTTCGTAATTGCCTGCTTTTCGGAGGTAAACAAGTAGCTATTCTCGCAGGGTGTGGTGAATTTAATGCAATGCAAACTTAACCAAGGAACGCTTTATTCTTTGTTTTAATTCTGCCCCCATTTAGGTAAAAGAATGCCCTGGGATTAAAATATTCCAGGCAAATGCACCACTCTATTTCGCTAACAGTGAGTTATTTACCAGCGCATTGAAAAGAAAGGTAAAGGAATTTCCTTCTTCCTGGTTAGTCAATCCACTGTCAAATTTCATAGGCAAATTGTACAAGTCAACTCACAAAACGGATTTTTGTTGGGCTCTAGAATTACAATATTTGGGGGGGGGGGGTGACAGGAAGGTTGTGGTCTTCTCAATCTTTTAAAAACACCCTGGATTGTACAGAATTAAGACCACCATTTCTATTTAAGATGCTAGTTTTATTCTTCCACAGTTTTTTAAAAATGAGACAAAGACGAGGATGGCGATACTCAAATATTTTATGTGTTCACCTGTAGTTTTAAGTGGTACAGTCCAGTACAGGTAGGCTCGACTTACAACCACAATTGAGCCCAAAATTTCTGCTGCTAAGCGAGACAGTTCTTAAGTGAGTTTTGCCCCATTTTATGACCTTTCTTGCCATCTCTGCACTTATTAAGTTAGTAATGAGGTCATTAAGTGAATCCGGCTTCCCCGTTGACTTGGCTTGTCAGAAGGTTGCAAAAGGGGATCATGTGATCCCAGGATGCTGCGACTGTCATAAATACGAGCCAGTTTCCAAGCCTTTGAATTTTGATCATAGGGATGCAGCAATGGTTGTGTTAAAAACAGTCATAAGTCACTTTTTTCAGTGCCTTTGTAACGTTGGAAAGTCGCTAAATGAATGCTTCTATGTCAAAGACCACTTCTGTACTATATCATCTTTTAATTAATCCCTTGCGGGGCAGAGTCTGAGCAACTGAATGGAGCTGGCAGAATGTTTTACTGGCCGGATGCCCTTCCTGTTGCCAGTGCGGAGTTTTGTTCAGCAGACATATTCTCAGTGTGCCCAGAGAGAGAAATATCTGCCTGTACCTAGAATCGAACTCACAGCCTCCTGATCGTGAGGCGAGAGCTCCAGCTCTAGGCCACCATATTATGTGGCCAATGATACTTTGAACTGAGTCAAGGATCATTTTACTAGGACTGTGATGGCAAACCTGTGGCATGCATTGCCACAGGTGGCACACAGAGCCATTTGTGCCAGCATGCGAGCTGCAGTCAAACTTACCTCACTGCGCATGCGTGCGCCTCACAGCTGATTTTCGACAGGTTTGAGGCCGAGGTAAGCTAAAATTTCATGAGATATTCCTTTCTTTCTGGGGTAGACTGGCCTGGATCCTCGTAAAATATTGGCAGCCAAGAAAAAAGCACAAAAGAGACACGCAAAGGAACAAAAGCGACTGGACGAACAGCAGAAGAAAGCAGTTTTGAAGATGGTAAGTTTGAAACGCTTTGGGGAAGTTCAGAATAACAGCTTGGATTTATCTGGTAAGAGATTTGTACCGATAAAGGAGAATATTTGTACCTGAAGGTTGAAATGAGAGATCCTTGGTACTCTCTGTGGTTGGTGGTTTCCTTGCAGATGTTTCATTACCCAACTAGGTAACGTCATCAGTGCTAGTAAGGAATGAGGTTTGCTCTCCGTTTATATAGTAGTGGCTCTCCGTTTATATAGTAGTGGCTTGTTTTCAACTGGGAAGTCGTGACTGTCCTAGACCAAGCCAAAAACGCTAAGAGAATTCCTGGAAGCCTGACAAATTGACCATTGAAAGTGAAGACGAGACAATCAACAGGCCAAAAAGGTAACAAAAATCCCCTCAACTCTGTTCAACTATTATAAAGTCTGCACTACTATTACTATTAATCTTCTCATCACTCCTTATCCCCCATCCCCTCCCACTTGTGACCGTATGACTGTAACTTTGTCGCTTGTATCCTTACGATTTATATTGACTGTTTCCTAGTATGATTGATTGATTGCTTATTGTACCCTATGACTATCATTAAGTGTTTTTCGTACCTTATGATTCTCGACTCCTGGCTAATGTATCTTTTCTTTTGTGTATACTGAGAGCATTTGCACCAAGAAAAATTCCTTGTGTGCCCAATCACACTTGGTCAATAAAGTATTCTGTTCTCTTCTCTTCTCTTCTCTTCTCTTCTCTTCTCTTCTCTTCTCTTCT